GCCCGGGGCTCATGGGCCCAGCCGCTCCACGGCATGTGGGATCCTCCCGGACCGGGTCACGAACCTGCGTCCTTTGCATCGGCGGGCGGACTCTCAACTACTGCGCCACCAGGGAAGGCCCTACCACTTCTTTTATATAGCATCGGCCACGTGCCAGGCGCTAAGCCCTTTACATTTATTAACGAGTTTAACCTACACAACAACCCCACGGATGTAGGGATCATTATTATCCCCTAATCACAGGTGAGGAATCCTCCCTACAGAGGCAACGTCACAGAACTAATAAGTCTCCCGTCAACAGGGGGCGAGAGATTCAGGAGACCTGGGCTCTGAGTGAGCCTGTGTCTCTGCCACAGGGCTTGGCCGTCCCCTCTACTGAGCAATGAGGGAGACCGAATCAGGTGGTTTCTAAGATCACTTCCAGCTCAGAGTCTGCGACTCCATGCGGTCCATCTGATGCCGGTTGGTGAGGGCGGCCAAGGCCGGCACGCCCTGAAGCTTTGGCCTGGCTTCCTCATGGCACGGGCTCCTCAGCGTCTAGCCCCGGCCCGGGGGAGGCAGGGCTCCCTGTCCCCCTCCCCGCAAGACGCCCACCCAGCCGCCAAGCCCTTGTCTCCTGGTCCTGGAGAACGGACTTCCAGCCCTTCTCAGGTATCCGTGTCCGCAGCGCCGAGTGAGCCAGGAATGAGACGGCAAGGGCCCAGGCGGCGCGACCTGCGCCGGGGAGACGACGCGAGAAACATTCGAGGGGCCCATGGACTGCAAAACCACGCAGTCCCTTTAACCCCCCAAACTTTCTCCCTGGATTAGCGACCCTAGCAGTCGCACATTGGCTGAGTCGCAGCCGCCAGGACCCGCCTTCTCTATTTACCTATTGGTTGCTGTCAGTATCCATCACAAGCCGAGGCTTCTTAGTGGACCTCGGCTCTTGTCAATCAAAGCAGGCGGGCGGCTGGGCGGGGCCAGGTCAGGCAGAGACACTCCAGCCTCGTTCCTCTCCTTGCCTCCCTCAGGTGTGTAACTGGGGACCTGGAGGCGCGCCTGGGGGCCGGTGCCGGGCGCGGAACCCTGCGCTGGGGCTGGGCCGGGCCCCGGGGACTTACCGATGCGCTGTCCCACCGGAGAGCTGAACGGGTTCCCCAGGAGAAAGTCCATCGCCACGGCTGCCGCTGCCACCAAGCCGGGGAATCAGCTGACAGCAACCGCCAGCGCCGGACCCGTCACGTGACGCGCCGGACGGTCCTAGAGGAGGCGCGGCTGGGGCGGGGCGGAGGGAGTCTGGAGCCGGCCGCAGGCCCCGCCCCTGACGTGGAGGGGCGGCGTCTCGAGGCGGAGGGCGATGACCTCACTGCGGTTTACTCGGCGTCGGTGGATCGTCACGCACGACGTTGGGCGGCTGCGGGCCTGGGGCGCTTGGGTCTAAGCCACGCCCTTCACGTCTTTTTAAGGATTTAGGGGCGTTGTCTTTGATCTCTACACACCCAGAAAACTCAGTCTCAGACCAGGGAAATGACTTGGGTAAGGTTACCCAGCAAGCTGAGACTCCAGCTCTCGCTCTTAGTTTTAGCCTCTAGGACCTCACTATGACTACACACCCACTGCTGGGTTTGACAGCCTCTCTGGCCTGTTGTCTCCCTGCCCAGAGAAGACTCTTCCTATTTGAGATCGAGGTCTCCCGGCTGCAAAATGTATCCTCTTTGCAGCCCAGATTCCGTTACCTCAAAATAGGAGGGAAGGGCCAAGGGTTTTGCGACACCTTGACACTGAGAGCCAGCTCAGTGAATTGCAGCTAGGGACGGGCTAGAGCCCAGGGTGGCAGAAAGCACACAGATGTCACTGGTGGGTCCTGGGACCCATCTCAGCCATTCATTTACTGTGTGATTCAAACAGCGGGCTTCCATTTTCTCTGGATTCTGGAATTAGGTCAAGGACCTTTCTTTTTTTAGGTTACTGGCTCCTTTGAGAAAGTGTAGAAATCAGCGGAGCCTTTCTGAAGAAAAAAGGCAGAGATACAGTTTGACCTCAGGGAGTTTCTGGGGTCCCTGAGGTGCAGCAGTGGACCCCAAGCTAAGAATTAAGAATCTCAAAGGCTCTTCGCAGCTTTGTAATTCTAATATCTTCAACCTTCTTGTGTGCTGTGTTTCAGCTATGTCATCTACTCATTAGATACCAATATTAGATCTATTGGTTATTTTTTTTTGCTTCTAATGACATGCACTCCAAAAGATACAATAACCACTGCTTTGGTAGTTTGGGTTACTGCAGGATGCTTCAGTATTTTTTGGGCATATCTGTGAATTTTAAATTTGAAAGGCTAGTAAATTGCAGAAATTTAGGACGATAGAAAACCTGAATTAGAACTTAATCACTTCCGTCAATCTGAGCAGTCATAGGGGCTGACATCTTTACCGTACAACATAAAACCTTTATGGACGTCATGTACTTCTGTGCTTTGAAGTGTTTTAATAATGCTCATGAGACCTGTTAATACATGCCCATACCCCCAGTAGTCTAGGTGCTTTTTGAGGGCTGGGATGCTGTGTCCATTTCTCTCACTGTAGTGCAGCACAGTGACTAACGCATGAAAATCTAAATCAATCTACCTTTCTTTAATGGTATTTGGACTATAAGGGGGGGATGTACACTTAAGATGATCTTCATGTCGGGTACCTTCCATGTTTTTCTTCATTTAAACATATTGCTTGGTTGTATGGAATATATTTAGCATGATTTTCCATTGGATTCTTCCATTAACAACCTTTAACATCCCCACGTTGGGTGGTGATTTAACCAGAAGTTCTTGCCTTCTTGCACCACGCTGGTTTAAAGTGATTATGGGCAGATCTTGGCTTTCTGCCAAGAATAAAACAGCGGTAAGTTTTATCCTTCATGGTAAGAAACCATATACCCGCAAACAGGGAGTGAAATCACAGCTCTGTGCAAACAGAAAGCTATTTAGCTATTATATTAGAAATGGAAGTGTGTGGATTTTGTCAATACAATAGATAGGAATGTAAATTGCAAACATTAAGTGTAGTAGTACAGAACTAATTAAAACTATGTGTTCAAAGTGTTTCCTAACAGGAACAAACTCATTTAGTAAAAAGTCTGTTTTAATTTAATTTTTCCTTTAAAGTGTTTTAGCAATATCAATATCAAAATGCCAGACGCAAGAGGGAGGAGATATGGGGATATATGTATATGTATAGCTGATTCCCTTTGTTATAAACTAGTTTCTGTGTTGTAGAAACTAACACACCACTGTAAAGCAATTATACTCCAATAAAGATGTTAAAAAGAAAAAAAATCTAATGCCTTCCTAAGGATAAAAATGTTTAAGTCCTTTAAAATTGACATATTGCATAAATGCAACATAATTATATCCTTTAAGTACTTTTAGACAAAAAAATCAAGATACTTTGCCTCCAAAGCTTAAAGACAACAGGACGACAAGAAAAGTGAGGTCTGTATAGTGAAATCCAGCTAGGACAAAAGGACATTTGAACAATGAAAAGGTCTGACAGTTTTCCTACAATCACATTTGCTCAGGACTGCAGATAATGGAGAAGGATTCTGATGAATTACATACACAATTTAACTTTGAAAGTGGCCTGGGGTTGAAGAGAGCCTCAGCTTTGGGGTCAACTGTACCAGTGTGTTTATTCTGGCTTTGCCATTTATGTAGCTGTATAAACTCAGGAAAAGTACTTTTCTGCATCTGTCTCCTCATTTGTAAAGGGAGATAATATTCATAAGGCCTTGGGGAGGATTAAGTGTGATAAAATATGCCAATCACTCTAGTCATTCAGTAATATAGCAGTCTCTTTTTTGCTGCCTCTCCATAAGAAGTGAGCCTTTGAACCAATCATAGTATTTTGCTATTTATGACTAATAACAACCTTGTGTTTGAATTGAAATTTTTACTTTGAAAGGTCTAATCTCATATATTGAATGTTCACAATACTACTAAACTTCATATCAGGCTGGCTGGCTTCAAGGCTTGTAGACAGGGAAGTGACATTAACACTATTTTACAGGTTAGACTGCAGATGCCTATAAAGATTAAGTGACCTATCCAATCCAACATCACTCAGTAAGGACAGTACTGAAACACATGGTTTAGCACAAGATTTGGATGTGATTCTTATACAAGACTGATAGGTATTTCTTGAGTTAGGCCAACAATGTAATGTACAGACAATTTCATTTGCCAATGAATAGAGCTACGCTAATCAGAGCCACTGGCTTTGCAGTTTGCAAGAGAGAAGATGAGAGTCCGCAACGTAAAGGTTACAAGAAACAGAGCAAGATGTTTGTTAGGAAGATGGCTATGATCAGAAACTTGACCTCTATTCCAAACAGATTTTTTTTTTAAAGAAAATTATAGTAGGATATAGTGTGAAAGACAGTTTAAAATTTCATAGCAACTTTCGTTAGCAACAGGGAAAAGATAGCTGACACTGGACTACAAATATTAAAAATGTGATTTTTAATAATATAAGTACAAAATTTTATTTCTTTATACAACTGTAATGGGATTTGGATCAAACAGCTAGAATTTATTTAAAAAACAAAATAAAACAATGATATAAAAATTGCAAGAAGGTCTGAATCCAAAGTTTTTCCTCTAATAGTACCAAATACCACAAGGAACAGATTATTATACAAATGTGTACAAATTTTAAATACAAATACAATAGGTTTGGATTTTAAAGGAAAACAAACAAAAAGCAGGTCCTCGTCAGGACTTCATTAATGTGTACAAATGACAATGGTAGGATTGACTTCTTTCTGTACTAATCCACGTCTCCAAGGCCCTTCCTTGATACCCTGTGCCAAACAGAAAACTGACATGGGTACAGAGGAGGCGTGGGATAGGTGCTAACACAAAATTAAACCAGGATTTCTGCTCTTCGTGATTTTGGTTCCCAGGCATTCCTGTTTCCTTCTGTTTGTTTCCCAGTTAAATTTCAAAACTGCTCTGAGGTGAGAAAGGCATTCAGCAGCCAGAAAACCTTTAAGAAACACAGCCCTGCGCCTACACTGGTGGGAAAAAAGGAAAGAATTAAATAGGATGCATTAGAATTAAATAGGCTGGTGGCACTGTCCTCAAAGATCTACTTTGATGCTGCGGTGCTCCGTCCAGGCCAAGGGAAGAAAGCAGTCACCTCAGAGCTTGGTTTTGACATGGACTCTCAAACCGAATTTAAAAACAACGCTGAAGTGCTCAACTGTTTTCTTTGGAACTGGGAAGCAAAAGCCTGGTTCTTTGGAAATAAGGGCAGCTGGGAATGGTAACATTCCTTTTTATTTACTTTCTTGACATTATTCATTTTTAAAGAACTAGAATCCCAACATAATGATTCCTTTTTGAGGCACAATACCTTAAAGTGTAGATGATTTGGAGTTTGCAGAGGAGACCAGAAGAAGGAAGGGAGGCAGAAATGACAAATCTGTATCTTCCACATGCTGTTGCTGGTGGAGGCTCTTGTTTTTAAATTATATATACAGAAATTTACAGGATAAATTAAAATCTAAGAGAGTTTAAAGAGTTAAATACACATAATTAAAACACACATTCACACACGCACATAAATAACCCTTCACGAGAACAGAGTACTTTTTTCGCAATTCACTTACGTGTGGAATGCAGAACGCTGTGTATCTGCCCAGCAGGGGAGCCAATGAGATGAACCCAGGAATCAGCCTGGGCAAAGCTCACTTCCACACCCGCCAAGCAGCTAAGCAGCAGAACTGTGAGCTAAGCTGACGCAGCCAATGGAAGATACCAGCTCTTAGTTCTGCAGACCAAATGCTTTGGGCCAGCTCACAATACAGGCCATTCAACTGGTGGCACTGACAGCTTTACCCTCTCCAGGGCTCACAAATCTCCTTGGCTCCGGCTGAGGCTGCCAATGGTACCAATGACTACAATAAGTTTTGCGACATGGACACTGGTAGAGCAGGAATTGGAATGAACCCCCTACTAAGTTCACTTAAGCCATCGCAATAACTTTCAGATGGGAACAATGTTATCACTTCCCACCTAGGTCACTTCAAGTTGAAAAGCTTTGTACTTTCAGTTAACTGACATCTTCCCATAATCTTTCCCATTATATTTCAGACTGTAAGACAGGTAAGGCAAATGGTCAGTGATGGGTCTGGAGGTACAACTGAGTTTGGAAAAAAATCACATTTTAGCTGACCTTAAAGCGATGCACTTGGCATCCAGAACAAGCCCCCAGCCCCCAAGTTACACTGATTTTTAAGGCAGATTTATCCACCACAGTAGAAGAATCCCAAGCCCATATTCACGCCAAGGTTTCCTCTTGGCTAAACCTTTGCCATTTCATAAAATTATTAAAAGCAAAGTAGTTACAGTCCTATGTATATATTATACATTATATATATATATATATATATATATATATGCATATATATAAAAATTTAAAACCTACACCCAGATGCCAGTGAAGGGATCTGGAACAGTCACATATACACAAGCCAGCAACAGGCAGGATAAGGTTTCTGTCCCAGGAGTCTTTGCTGTCACAGTCCAGGCATGATGTAAGCAATGTTGTCTAGTGTGTTTGCCTGCAAAACAAAGGAAAAAGGTTCAGCTGAAGAGTATTTTACCTTAGTTCCCTGAGACATATTTCTTTGTTCAAGGGAGACAGATGAGAAAGAAAATCTAGACTTAGAGAAAACACGGAGAGCGAAGATGTCACGCCGTTGTCTGTTATGCTGGGAGCTTTTCTGCTGGCTTCTCCCATTAACCCTAGTAAAATAGAGGCAGGAGACTCCTGTACTTTGTCTCTGGAAGAGCAAATAGGCAACACAGGAGGTGCAGTACCTTAAGGGCTACAAAGCTTCTCTCCAAAGGAGAGAAATCTTAGGAAATGGCGTGTTTGCTATTTCACTGAAAGCCTGGCATGCATTCAACACTCAGTGTCATGTTCCATGGGCCGACAGCCTATGGCAACGCTATATCCAGGAAGCTTTATGGGCTTGTGCTTGATAGGGCTCATTAAGGCAGGGCCTCTCTGGCTCCCAAGGGGTCTGGCCCCCAAAATCCCAGGAAACAAGGAAACTCACCAAGACCTGTTTGGGACAGCCATTCAACTCAGGTAGTTGTGTGGTCAGACACGCCAAGGGGCCAAGCGCACAGATGATGGAATCCAGAAGCACTGACAAACTGCCGGACACAGCAACCATGCCCTGAAAAGGAGAGCGTGACAGGAGAGGACTGAAGCTTGAATCACACTCCTGAGGCTCCCTCCAGGTTCTGGGTGAGTTCCTTGCATGGTTCTTTAAGTCCTGGGTGGTTCTATGAAACTTGTGGCAGAAATGGAAGGTCTCTGCTTTGATAAGAATACATTCCCAGGTTTCCTTTCTATATTCCTAATCCACTGTACCCTCTGTGAGACCTTAGGTTAGTCACTTAGGAACAGTAGGAAAAAACCCCAAAAAACCTATACTGAAAAATCATAAAAAATGCCTCATCTATTCTGGAGACCTGCTGGGAAGATTTGTGGAGATCATGTATGCAAAAGTATTTTTCTTACGAACTCCACAAATATAGCTCAAATGTGATAACCATGAGAATTCTACACATTAACATTTAACACAAACACACACACACACTTCTCCACATATGTGGCTTTTTTGATAGTGGATGATACCACTTTTCTGTTCTTTTTAAAATTTAACTTATAAAATGCATATTGTTTATATCTCTGTGATTCAAAGACATAGCAAATAAGATTGCTTGCTACAAATAATGCTGCCCAGCTCTTGTACAATCTGCTTCAACCAGAGGTACTGTGAGGATATGTCACCTAGGAAGGCAGCACAGAAGTGTCCTTCAGAGAATGAGCTCTGGGCTCGAGATGCGGGGCTGAGAACCTGGCTATATCCCACTCACCGAGAGGGGCAAGCAGATTTCTATGCTGTGCCTGAAAAACACAGTACTGACAGCATCTGTAGCACGGAGTGGATTAAGTGAGACAACAGACATCAAGTACCTGGGGTGGTGCCTGGCACCTGGGAAGTGCTCAGAAAGTATCAATAATGATCACTACTATTACCAACATCTTCATCTCCAAAACTGCCTTTCTGGCTGCCTGCTAGGGCTTTCATTTTGGATATTTCTCAATCTCAACATACGGTAAAGAGAAATAACCTACCCTTCCTCCTAGCATCCCTTCCTCTGCTAAAATCACCACCATTCACACATCTGCCCAGTCTCAAGGCCTTGCCACCGTTGATTTTTCTTTCCCTTCATTCTCCTTGTCCAGTGTCTCCCCCCACTTGCAAGGCAGGCAGCAAAGGGTTAAAAGCATGGACCCTGAGGTCATGCCACCAAACTCAAGGCTCTGTTTCAGCACTTATGGGCTAAACTCTAGAGAAAGTTCCTTAACCTAAGTCTGTTTTTCCTTCTCTAAAATAAGGGAACACAAATTTTGTTTCACAAAGTTGCAGTGTGAATTAAAGGGAAGGATCCATGTACAGCACTCTGAACCAAAGCTGCCTGAGTGAGCATTCAACGGAAGACAGCAATTAGTAATATTATTCCATACTTTTGCCCTACAGTTAATGATAGCTAATATTTTATGTCCGACTCTCCCAATAAGCAACCTGAGAGCACAAACCAAGTCATACTCATTTTCATATCCTTCCAATAAATACTGGGGTTCTGCACAGAGTAAGCTCTCAATAAATATTTGTTAAATTCAAATCTTTGTCATGTCTAGTCTAGATTATTGTTATAACTTTTCCCTAATTCTGGTCGCTTTTCACTCCCCATCTAAAATAGAAGATATTCTCGGTGAAAACCAAATGAGAGCTCTGATCATTCCTCCCTACTGAAAAAATTCCAGTAGTTCCTGAGCAGTGATTTCCCTCTGTAGTTTGGATGCCCTTAATATTCAGCCTTCCTCTACCTTATTATGCATTGGATGTTCTAGTGTTTCATCATTTTAGCAATAAACCCCTTTGGAAATAAAACGTTAAGTGGAACCCCAATATATAAAACAGCTAAAAGATCTGGTTAAAGTGGGAATGGGGGGTCTAGAGCCCCACTGGGTCTCTTTTGACCCACCTCTGCAGAAAACTCCAGGGCCGAGAAGCAGATGTTCTCTTGGTTTACGATGTCTCCCTCCAACAGCTCCGTGATACCAAGTCCTGCTTATCCTACCAGGTCCCACTGGAACCCCACATCCCCTTCACAGAGCCTCTCCTGACCCCCTCTCTGCTCTCAAGCGCTGCTGTAACTGCTTCAGGTGGCACAAAGCTGCAGAATGAGAGCAGGCTGAGAAGTGGGGCAAGCTGTGCTCGGTCACAGCGAGTTGTGTAAACTTGTAATAACGGTCACTTAATTTCATTAGCTTTCAGGTATTCAATCTTTAAATGAGCAAACTGTATAAATCAGTGTTCCTTAAAGTGTAATACGTTTACTAATTTCAGGTGGCGTAGAGGTGAATATTAATTATTTGATATACATCCATTTTGAGGTACATTAGAAAAAAGATTAGAGTATCTCACTTGTGATATCGAGGACATCATTGTGAAAGCATGGATAAATTTATTTAAATAAACATAAATAAATCAGAAGCTTGGGATGAACATACACACACTACTGTATATGACAGATAAACAACAAGGACCTACTGTATAGCACAGGGAACTCTACTTAATATTCTGGGATAACCTATATGAGAAAAGAATCTAAAAAAGAATGAATATACGTTTATGTGTAACTGAATCACTTTGCTGTGCACCTGAAACTAACACAACACTGTAAATCAACTATACCCCAATAAAATTAAAATTAAAAAAATACAAACTAAATAACAGTATAAAGTGGTATATGGAAATGGCAAAATTGTGAAGATATACACAAATGATTAAAGTCTGGGAAAAAGTGGAGTATAGGGGGAATGGGGAATTACTGCTGATGTATATGGGGTCTCTTTCGGGGGTAATGAAAATGATCTGGAATAGACAGTAGTAATGGAGCTACAAATCTGTGAATATACTAAAATCCACTAAATTCTACATTTTAAAAGGGTAAACTTTATGGTATGTGAATTATATCATAATAAGACTTCCTTATGTTAAAAAAAAAGGGGACTAGAGATTCTGCAACATTCTTTCCCTTTTTTGGTCAATATGTATATTTAACTCTCCCACAGCAACTGCTCACAGAAGCTGGCTTGTTTTATTTGCTAATTATTTATCTATTCTGTCTTTCCAATTAGATTGTAAGTTTCCTGAGGATACGAAATCATCATAATTTCTACTCCCCCCAGTACTAATGCCTAATAATTAGTAATGCCTAATGCCCAGTAATGCCTAAGTGCTCAACAAGTATTTGTTAAACTCAATGGAAACGTCAGGGAAAATCTGGAATATGGAAGGTGAAAAAAGCAAATCATTTAAAATTTTAACTTTTTAGGAAATGTAAGAATGTCTAAATATGAAAAATAAATAAGGATCCCAGAATATTTTATTCTGGAAATATCTATATCCATTCAAATATCTGGGCCTACAAGAAAGTAGCTGTTTTGACACCTACTAAATTTTGAGAAACTAGCCAAAGAACTTAGACAAAGCTTCATCTCTTGCGGCCTTTGGCATTTTATTTGTTGAATAATAATTCAACTTCCACATAAAAGCAAGTGAGTAGTTTTATATCCCTACACTGATTTCTCAGCTTAAAGATGGCTTTAGTAATTCAGACTGATTTCTTTGCTGAAATGTCCTATTAGGACCCAGTGGAAAACTGAAATACTACACTACTTACTGAGTTAGCCAGGGAAAAATATGATTAGAAATTGAATATGGTAATAGAAATGGAACATGACAGCTTTGCAGGTTAAGTGATTTTGAAATTGAAGCTTAAAAGGACACAGATCTCCTTAGGGTACATGGCACTGTATGACTCAAGTGCAGAGAAATGAAGAGCTTGAGAACCTCAATCTCCCAGTTGCTACCTACTTTCAAAGCAGTAGAGGAACACTTAATGCCCTGTACAATCTAATCTGTCTATTAAAAACCTTGCTGGAAATGCATAGAAAAATCCAAACTCTCTTAGAAATAAAAACGATCAAAGCTTCCATGGGATTTGTACTCATTTTTCCCATTGCATTTTTAAAAAATAAAAATGAGTTATAGGATTATACGTCAATTGTATCTCTGTAAAACTGGGGAAAGAAAAGGTACAGGGTAGTCTAATTTCCTTTTGTGCCATTGTTTCAATAGGACGGTATTAGTGTAAACTTTGAGAGCCAGTAGGTAGATTCCAAATCTCTAAATGTTTCTATTACCATCTCTCTTCTCTATCACCGTATCCTGAGCACCTGGCATAACCCAGCATACAGCAGTTACTCAATGAATGTATGTGGAATGAGTAAGTGGATTCAAATTATATAAGCAACTGGAGTCATGCTGCTGGCAGTGCCCTCACCTCGGTTTCCTGCAGGCGGTGTCCAATGAGGCTCAGGGACTCTCCCAACAGCTGGAGATGAGCAGCCACGTCGATGGGCTCTGTCTCAGGGGCTTTGGCTGGAGAGGCGGGTAACAGCATGGTGGTGGGTGGGGATTTCTTTTGGGGTGACAGTACTCCTGCAGAGGAAGCTGAGAACAGAGACAAAATAGAGAAAGCTTGCCAATGTTCTTCCAGATTTTCCCTTTTTATGAGCTCTACCAGGCATTAACAAAATTATGGACTGTGGGCCAAATCTGGCTCATGACTTGTTTTTATATTGGCCTGTGAGCTAAGATTGATTTTAGATTTTTAAATGGTTGTTGTAGAAAAAACAAAGAGGAATATGTGACAGAGAATGCATATGGCCCTCAGACTTAAAATATTTACTCTCAGGGACTTCCCTGGTGGCACAGCAGTTAAGACTCCAAGCTCATGCAGGGGGCCCAGGTTCGATCCCTGGTCAGGGAACTAGATCCTACATGCATGCCACAACTAAGAGTTCACATGCCGCAACTAATGAGCCCAAGAGCTGCAACTAAGACCCAGCGCAACCGAATAAATAAAATATTAAATAAAAACCAAAAAATAAAATATTCACTCTCTGGCCCTTTACAGGAAAGCTTGAGGACTTCTGACTTAACATTTTCTAAATTTTTTTGGCAACCCTTAATATTTAGTAATAACATCTGGATATCAAGACCTGCTTCTAATATCGGCTATTCTCCCCATTTCTTAGTGAGGAAGCAAAATTCACAGTGCTCTAGGGAGAAGAATGCAAAGAGGAGAGGGATGTGGTCACTACCTTTCACTTTCATGGAACCTTCCGAGCTGGATGCTTTTCTTTTCACAGTTGTAGCTTCTGCTTTGTTCTGTTTGTGTTGCAGATACTGAGCTTTCTGTTTCCAAATCTGCAATCAGATCAGGGCAAACAAATTTAAAAGGGCAAAAAAGTAAAAGGGAAAGCAGTCATGGAAGAGGAGAATGAAGAAAAGAAAGGGAACAGTGGAGGGGAGCAGACAGAGGGTTAATGTTAGCTTTTAAGCTGGAGGGTCAGTGAACAGGCTTCAGATAGCGGTGACAGTAGTATCTTAGGAGAGGACCACGAATACCCCCCAGTGCTAATGGTCACGTTGCAGCACTGATTCTGCATCACTCTAAGGTTGAAATGTAAAATCATAGAGGAAACATCTGGCTCATCCTAATGTACATGTGGTTTAAACATTTCTTCTAACCTGCCAGTTGGAAACACCAATACTAGGATAACAATGACACGGAAAACAGAAACTAAAGATAATTGACCTGGGTGAAAAATATATGTTGTTTTCACCCAGATGAGCTGTACTTTAAAAAAGCAAGATGGTAATTCTAATGCCTAGACTACCTTCATATCATCTAATTGGAAAGTGACTGTGATTCAAATATGACTATTTATCATTGTCTTATTAGCTTTTTGACAGTAACGTTTATTATTTGGTAATGGTTGATGAGGATGATGACCTGGAACCTACTTACCTAGTAAACATTGTCCCATGTTTTTATTATTTGCTGTGACTATCAGGTGGACCACTTTCCTCAGTTCTCAGACCACAGCAGACTAGTAGGTGTTTGTGGTCAAGGTCTCTGACTTTAGATTCTCTTTTAACACGACTCATTGCCCAAGTTATGTCATCTTTTGGCTCAAATGTCAGGTTGTTGGGAAAAAATTAGATGAGGTTAGAAGACAGCCTCCCTGTAGCTAAATCTTCATGTAGAGTGAACTGGCACCAACTACTTTATTGTCCTCTGCTAAACCATTTTCCACTGATTTGTAATTTTTTTTTTCTATGTTCAGTGTTGTTTGGGATGGTGTATAGGAGGATTACACATTTTGGAAGGCATAAAGCAATGAAAAATGTGTCCGTAATAAACTGTACTTACCAGTTTGTCCTTCTCTGGCAATTGCTTCCACACCTCAGCCAGTTTTTTGCTCAGTTCCCCAAAATCTAGCATAAAAGAGTAAAAAAAAATAAAAAACAGAAACAACCCAAAACAGTAAAGGTTTAACCATAAACAAAACAGACGACTGATAGGAGCAAAAACTAGGAAAAGGGTCTTGAAGATCAGATTTAAATAGCACAAGAGTCTTTCAGAAAGCCAAACCAAACCCCATCACTTTCCTTGATTCTTTTCTGGAAGGAAGGGGCTGTTTTGGTGGCCGTGAGACAGGCTCAAATTCTCACATGTCTACTCTCTAAAGATTTATTCCTTAAGCATCTTTCTGGTGTCTTTTAATTTGATTCCACGGAACAGGGCTTATCTACTTAAGTTAGAGAAAATATGTTATGGAGAATTTGACTGATTAAGAGATGTTAGAGTTTTACCGAATTTCTGAGAGCTCAGAGACAAAGAAGAATTTCCCTAGAGCAGCTCGGAAGCGATCTTCCAGACGTGTAATGCTGTGCTTTCACACGTAGAGTGAGGTTGTGCTTTATAAAGCACATCTGTGTCTTTCACGGTGCTTCAGTGTGCCTCACAACAACCCTGGTGAGCAGGCTGGGAAGCTAGTTCACACATTGGGCAAATGAGATGTGCAGATGTGCAGAGGGTACGTGACCTGTCTAAGGCCTGAGGTGTAGGGTGCTTCTCACCTCACTAACTTCCATATAGAGACAAATATGAACAATGTAATATGTGATCTCACTCCGACTCTAAACTGAGGGCAGTTTAAGGAAAAGGTCAACTGTAGAACCTTGGAAAGAAACACCTGTGTATTTATGTACTGTGCTTTATGGACGGGGTGAACTAAGACAAAATCTACAATTTTTTTGCGGTACGCGGGCCTCTCACTGTTGTGGCCTCTCCCGTGGCGGAGCACAGGCTCCGGACGCGCAGGCTCAGCGGCCATGGCTCACGGGCCCAGCCGCTCCGCGGCATGTGGGATCTTCCCGGACCGGGGCACGAACCTGTGTCCCCTCCATCGGCAGGCGGACTCTCAACCACTGCGCCACCAGGGTTCCGTTCATACTATGGGAATAAGTTTGCCTGCTGACTGGAGTAACTGCACTGCTTCAGGGACACAGATGGAAAGTAAAAGCACTAAAGATGAGAAATGTTCTTACCTATGCCTGGATGGTCAGCCACAATGGTTACACGATACTCCTTACAGAACACCTGGTAGGCCGACATGTTCTTCTTTTTCGGCTAGTACCACATAAAAATAGAACAGGGTAAGACTTAATTAGAACACAGGTTGAGCAACCTTGCATCTATGGGAACAAAACAAAAAAGATATCTGCACTTTTTCATCAAGAGTGCTAAATTACTAACCAGCTTTCCTAAACACGATAATTAATTTTGAATCCATGTTACTTATGACTCAGAGATGAGTATCGGTTTTACTTTAGAAGGTAAAAATCACATGCTAAATTAATTTTAGACTTTTCAGGTTGTTGCAGCTACTTGATAATTATTTGTAAAGCTCTTCATCCTTTCTATAAATGTTACATATTTCGGTTAGAATTAAGTGCTAAGAAAATCTTTACCTCTCCTGGGGTGTCTAGTTTTCATCTTCTTTGAAAATAAGAACCACATAGTTTCCCTTTGCTTTGGGGCCAGAAAATCAAGAGCTAAATTTTGTTCACATGGTTCCTCTGGTTTTGATTTCTAATCTTAAAATTCTCCTGATCCTGCTTTGACTGTCACTTGTAGTTTATCGTTATTTTATTATTCACATTATTGTGGTCCAAGGTGAGAAGTAAATAAATAACTGAAGACAATTCTTTGGTACTTAACGTAAGATGAACCTCTTTCACTTCAACAAACTGCTTTGTACTACCTGAAATATGTTTATTCTTCACTTATGACAATTCCAAAAGCAATGCATGATTTTTGAGAAACAAAAACAAAATGAGCTTTTAAAACCAGTTCAATGAGGGATATATAAAACAAAAGATACTATATATTACTATGCATCCCATTTTACAATTATCCATAGACTCAGGAGAAGAATTTTCCTACCTGAAAAGGTACATTAGATAGCACCTGTTCAAATCTCTCATTTTGAGGATGAGAAAGGAAACTTAGAAAAATAGTGACTTCCCTGGGTCCTGCAGCTATGCCAGTTATAACACGAGAATGGCTACAGCCTAGCCTGACCTCCAGGGCTATGCATTATGGGCCAAAGAAAAAATGTATGTTGTAACAGAAAAAATTACTTTTCAAAAGAAAAGATTATCTCTTTGTAACCATTATCTAATAAACTGAGATGTCTTCAGTCTGGCTTTCCTTATAACCTCATCTGTAAGTATCAAAACATGATGATCAGTCCTCCATTGCCTCCCAAGACAGTCCTTTCTGGTCCTGCACTTATAATGACATGAACGGTTGGCTGGTGCTTTAAAAGCTACCGGAAACTTCTGTTTGCCTCAAGAATCTGATTTTACAACCAAAACAAACCAACAAACAACACAGTCCTGTCTCGTGACTTCAGGGTTGCACCTTGTTTTTAAATGAAGCCTGATCACACACTTTATTCACCTTAGTTCTTTTTTTTTTTTATTTTATTTATTTATTTTTGGCTGCATTGGGTCTTCGTCACTGTGCACGGGCTTTCTCTAGTTGTGGTGAGTGGGGGCTACTCTTCATTGCGGTGTGCGGGCTTCTCACTGCGGTGGCTTCTCTTGCTGCAGAGCAAGGCTCAAGGCGTGCAGGCTTCAGTAGTTGTGGCACGTGGGCTCAGTAGTTGTGGCTCACGGGGTCTAGCACACAGGCTCAGTAGTTGTGGCGCACGGGCTTAGCTGCTCCACGGCATGTGGGATCTTCTTGGAACAGGGTTTGAACCTGTGTCCCCTGAACTGGCAGGCAGATTCTTAACCACTGCATCACCAGGGAAGCCCTCACCTTAGTTCTTAATGTTGTTTTCATGAAACAACTGTCCTCAAAGACCAAAGACTAGCCAAAACTTATGACAGTAAAAAAGCTGTGTGATGTCTCAGACTTTAATTCCAAAAGGAATTCTGAAACCATTTTTGAAGAACGGAAACAACCCCGAAACGTCTTCCAAAGTAAACTGCTTTGAATGAGATAGCACTTCTTTGGCAAGGAAAATTATGCCATGTTTGTTATAGATTTAGCTTCAAAAATTTTAGACTAATCTTTTAAAAACAGCTTATTCATAGGCCTGACTTTTGGCCATAAAATAAAACTTGCAAGGAGTTTTAACAATTTTTCTCAAACATGATATAAGACTATGAAAAGTCAATGATCTCTATTCCACAAGGCTATCTACAGCTATAACATAAAATTGAAACTACCTTTACAAAATTAATCACAACTCTTACCCAATATGTTAGATCCAAATCCACAGAGTGAAGAAAGGGGTTCCTCTCATAACTCTTATAAAGGACTTTATTCAGTTATGTAGAAAATATACTGGCATTTATTGAGTATCTGTACTGGGTACAGTGAGTAGTTAAGAGGATGAGCTTTTGGAGCCCAGATCTTATTCTAAGGCAGTCAAACAGCATAAAATAGTGGAAAACATGAAATGTAAAGTTTAAAGGCCCACCATTTTTTCTCACCATTTTAGCTTCACCTTATACTAATTATTTGATCCTGAATAAAACACATGAGAAGTGGATTGCTCTCTGACATGTGATATTTAAAAAAAATTTTTTTTTAAATTTATTTACTTATTTGGCTGCATCGGGTCTTAGTTGCAGCACGCGGGATCTTCACTGCCATGTGCGGGATCTGTGTTGCGGCATGTGGGATCTTTTAGTGGCGACATCAGGATCTTTAGCTGCGGCATGTGGGGATCTAGTTCCCTGACCAGGGATCAAACCCGGACCCCCTGCATTGGGAATGCGGAGTCTTAGCCACTGGACCACCAGGGAAGTCCCCTGACACGTGATATTAAAAGTATTTCAATGGCAAAGAAGGAAAAACAGAGACTAAAAAGGAGGAGACTGCAAAGGAAAGAGAAAAGAAGTAACCCACCAAAGTATTCTGCCATTCATTTCTTAATAAATATTTACTGAGCATCCACTATGTGCCAGACATTGGGAATACAGCCAAGAACCAGACACATAACCTAATAGAAAAGACAGATAAATATGTCATAATAAAATGCGACAATATTATAGGGAAACTACTGGGTGTTACAGGAACATGTATTAGGAGCACCTCACAAATTAGGCAATCGAAGAAAGCCTCTGGAGGAAGTGATGTTAAATGTACATTGGAAAGCTGGGTGGAATTAGCCAGGTGAAGAGTGGTTACGGGTGTTCTAGGCTCTTAGAGTGGTAACACTCATCAGAGAGAGAAGTAGGAGATGATCTCAGAGAAGCAGGGAGGGTTTAGAGATGGATGCCTTGTAACCTGTATTAAAGAGTATGGGCTCCATTGGAAAGAAGTGATGCAAGTATTTTAAGCAGGAAGTCACATGGTCAGGTTGCACGTTAGGACCATGGAGAATGGACTGGAGCAGAGCAACAGCGGAGGCAGGAAGCCCGATGGGGGTTGGGGGGTTGCTGCAGGAGTGCCCGAGAGGAATGATGAAGGCCTACAGCCAAGACAGTGGGGTTGGAGAAAGGCAGATAAATTGAAAGGGAGGGAGAAGTGACAGGATTTATCCGAGATAATGCAAAAACATGGAAAGAGCCTGGGTTTTGGAGGCCGACAGAGCTAGGTTAGAATCCTGACCATACTATCTACTAGCTACACAAACTGTTTCATTTCCCTGAGCTTTAGTTTCCCTGTCAGTAACACCTGGATAATACCATTCCCTGAGGTGGGAATTAACCAGCGTTTGGCACTTCGGTAGGTACTCAGTCATGTTATTTCTGTGGTAGGCAGAATTCCAAGATGGCGCCCAGGATTTCGGCCTCCTGGTGGGCACACCCCATAAAATTCCCTCCCCTTGACTGTGGGCAGGACTGGTGAATATGATGGGGCATCACTCCCGTGATCATGTTATGTTATATGGCAGAATGGAATTTGCAGATGTAATTAAGGTCCCGAAGTGAGCTGAATCTGAGTGGATCCAAAGGGAGGTTATCCTGAGTGGGCCTGACCTTATCCAGTGAGCCCTTAAAAGAGGTGAGACCCAACAGGAGACACTCTCCTGTTGCTGGACTTCAACTTGAAGACAACAAGTTGCCATGAGTTTTACAGTTGCAAGGACCTGAATGCTGTCAACAACCTGGAAGAGGACCTCTAGCCTCAGCTAAGAACCCAGTTCTAGCCAACACCTGGATTCAGTCTTGTGAGAGATGGAGCAGAGAACCCAGTGGAGCCCTATCTGGACTTCTGATCTACAGAACTGTGAGCTAATAGATGGATATTGTTTTGAACTGCTAGACTTGTGGTAATTTGTTATGCCACAATAGGAAAGTTCCTTTTTATTCCCTCTGTATTTTTCAAAATAGAAGTTGTAGCATCCAAAAAGCTAATACAAGATTTTTTAAAAATAGAAATTCTGGTGAGGGAGGATAGAGTGAAATCTTCTGACCTAAATCAGACAAAGAAACTAGCAGCAAGGCCTTTACTTTAAACTTTCGCTTCAGTAGTAAAGGTCCTATTTTTAGTATTCTTCTGGCGAAGTCAGTCATGTTCAGAGATGCCACACAAGGGAGCTCTGGGGGCTGCATCTCCTTTATTAATTTAGTAGCAGCCTCATATCCCCAAATGCTCTAAGTGATCTAACCCTTTCAAATCCCCCTTTACTGGGCCGAAGATAAAATGAGGTTGCATTACAAAGAAAGGCATGAGTTCATATAAGTTGTTTGGCTATGAGAGAGAGACGGAGAGAGGGAGATATGGATTGACTAGTCTGTGTGATTCTGCTCTAAGAACCCATTCCTTGGAGTGTGTGTGACAGCATGAGATCTGCTTTCCCCAGATAGTTCCTGTATGTCTCCCTCAGTGTGTGTAACTCGCTACCCAAGTGTAATTCTGATGTTTGGAGCTGACATAGTTTAAAAAATAAAATTATGAAAAAAAAAATAAAATTATGGCTCTTTAACATATACCAATGACTTCACCTGGTGAAGAGAGTAAAATCCAGGTGCACTGGGCTGACATTCTGTTAGACTGAGCAACTGCTGGCCTTTATCGTGGAGCCTTCCTAAGGGATTTTCAAGGGAAACTCTGACAATTTTCACCTTATGTGCTGACCTTAGAACCTAACCATTGTGCTCTAA